GGCCTTTGACTCACTAGTCAGCAAGAACCTCGGGTCCCTGAGGGGAGGAAGGAGTTCCGGGCTGGGCCTGGGCCCCCGCCCTTCCCAAAGGAAGGAAAATGATAGACCCCCCAGCTTCCGGCTTCCTCTGGCAGTGGGCCCCCTCCTCCAGCTCCAACTCAGCTCTCTGCCCCCGGTTTTTGCATTTTTAATTCAGGACAGAATGTGATCTCTTGCAGCTCCTTGCTTTATCCTGTTGCTATTTAAATTACAAATCGGCCCCATCTCCCTGTCACTCTTGGGTTATTTTTAGCTTCTGGTAAATAGCAGCAGGGAGAGTCGGATCAGGTGCCCCTCCCTCGAGGAGCTTTGTACCCGAAGTCCCATGCCCACAGCAGGGGGCACCCTCCCCTGCCAGCTGGCACCCCTGATCTCTTTCCCCCAGCCTCTCTGTAGGGGTGGAGGGGGCAGGGTGAGGACTGCAGTCTGGGGACATGCACACATGCTCAATCTTTGCTCTTGCACTCAGTTGCTCAGTCGTCTCTGACTCTTTGTGACCCCATGGACAATAGTCCGCCAGGCTCCTCTGTCCCTGGGATTCTCCAGGCAAGAATACTGGAGGGGGCTGCCATTTCCTCCTCCAGGAGATCTTCCCAACTCAGGGATCAAACCCACATCTCTTGTGTCTCCTGCATTGGCAGGTGGATTCTTTACCACGAGCACTACCTTGAAAGCCCTCCCTTTGTTGAACTCTCACTCCCGGGTCTCACCAAGCATCCATTGTTCCAGGCCAGCCTTGTTAAGGGACTTTTCTGGCCTGCCCTGCACCCCCAACCCACAAGGAGATCCAGCTAGAGAGGGTAGACGATCTAACTTCCGTCTCACTCCTGCTCAAAGTCAGGAACTTTACATGTCTTATTTCATCTTGCCAGCCACCTTCTGGTACAGGTATTACTGTTCCCATTTTCCATAGAGGAAATGAGGTCAGAGGTGAAAGTGATTTACCCGGCTAGGAAGCGCAGAGCTGGAATTCGAACCCAGATTTATCTGACCCTGAAGACTGCATGCACGGGCATCACATTGTCTCTCTCAGTGCAATGCATGTGCCAATTTGCTCAATGCCCAGGTTTGTTCCTAATGCCCACCATCAGCTGTCTTTCCCAAGTGTTTGTCTCATATCCATCTACTGGATCAGGGGTTGGCAAACTATGGCCAATGGACTACATCTGGCCCGCTGCCTGATTTTGTGGGGCTGTGAGCTAAGAATGGTCTTTACAATTTTAAGTGGTTGGGAAAAAAAGCTAAAGAATAATATTTGTGACAGTAGAAATCATATGAAACTTAAAGTTCAGTGCCTATAAATAAAGTTTTACTGGAATCCAGTCACGCTCATTGGTTTCCATATTGTGTATGGCTGCGTTTGCACTGTGATGGCAGAGCAGAGCTACAGGACCATGTGACCTGCAAAGCTGGAAATATTTACTGCCTGGCCCTGGACTGAATCATACTCCTGTCAAGAGAAGAATGTTATCTCATACTTGTATCTCATACAGCATCTGGCCCAGGGTCAGCTCCAGACAGAGGTGCTGGTACTCCTTTAAGGTCTTTCTAGGGCCACGACTGATGCTGGGAAAGACCGAAGGCAGGAGGAGAAGGGGACGACAGAGGATGACATGTTTGGATGGTATCACCGACTCAGTGGACATGGGTTTGAGTAAACTCTGGGAGTTGGTGGAGGCCTGGCGTGCTGCAGTCTGTGGGGTCACAAAGAGTCGGACACAACTGAGCGACTGAACTGACTGACTGAGGGCCACAGCAGCATCCAGTAAGGGATGCCCCTGCCAGCCACTCCCCCAATGATCCAGCTCACTTTTTACCTTTTGTCTATCTCCTCCAGCTTCTCCATAGGTAAAGCCTGTGGTTTCCAAACCTACTTGACTATCAGAATTATTGAGGGAGGTTTTTCTTTTCCAGCCATTTTACTATTTTAAATTCTTTTTGTTTATTTTAATCTTATTTATTTACTTATTTGGCTGTGCTGAGCCTTAGTTGCAACATGTGGGATCTAGTTCCCCAGATCGAGTCTGGGCCCCCTGCATTGGCAGCACGGAGTCTTAGGCACTGGACCACCTAGTAAAGTCCCACCTGGGGAAGGTTTTTAAGAGTCGAGATACCCAGACCCAAGCCCAGACCCTCTGTATCAGGATCTCTAGGGAGGGCTTTAGAAATAATTTTAAAAGAGATCCTCAGCTGATCTCGGGTCTGGGATCCACTGGGCTTATCTCCAGAGGTTCAAGTTCCGCATCTTCTGACTGGTCCTTTCAGGCCAAAGCCAGTGTCTCTCATGCCCCTGGCTTCCCCTAGGCTGGAGGCCACCCTCCGGTGGGCCTTGAGCTCAGTCCTTGAGTGCCTGGGAGTTTTCCTCAGGCCCAGATGCAGAAAGAAGGTGTCCTCCCACTTCCCTCCCTGCCAAGAGTTTCTCCTGCCAGAAACCTGCCGCCTCTCCATCCCCCTGAAGCAGCTGCCAGGGCTGCTTCCAGCCCACACCACGGGACCTGCTGTGGGGTGGAAGGGAACCTATTTCCCAGAAACCCCCATGGCCCTAAAAGCTCCTACTGTCCTGCTGAAAACCCCTGTCCTCACTGACGTCAGAGGCAGCCAGGCCCGATCCCACTTCCGCTGCCACCCCTGGCCCTCGAATTTTTTTTGCCCCCGCATTTCTGTCTAAAAGCCTTTTCTCTCTGTGAATGGCTTTCAACTGCTTTTCTTAGCAGCTCCTCACAGCGGGGTGGGAGGTTTAGCTGCGAGCCAGAGCTGCATGGAACTGCAGGCAGGCGGAGGAGGTGGAAAGGCCTACGGTGGGCCTGAGCTCTGGACAGCCCCCAGTGGCCTGGACGACAGTCACAGGGGAGGGCTGAGTCCTCCCACTGGGGTCCCGTGGGTGGACCTGGGCCCTGTCTCTTTCTCAGGGCTTCCTCCACCCTTCTTGCCCTGACACTCCGTCCTGCCCTGGTCCTAAGACAAGACATCTGGCCTTGCCTCCGGGTGTGAGGAGGCGCCTCACTTGTTCTGTCCAGGGGTGGCGACAGCTGGAGTCCTCCATGGCGCTGTTTTCTGCAGCCTTCACACAGGTGACCCAGAGGTCTCCCCCATCTCCCCATCATTTCACAGCCAGGGGGAACCACAGCTTGGTGACCCTGCGTCCTTAGTGACGAGAGGCCTCAGGTTTGGGCTGGGGAGCGCCCTCCATTCAGGAGCCACCCTGGGCCAATCCCAGCCCTCGTGTCTGTCTCCCAGTGTGTGTGTGTCCCTGCATAGCATCTTCTCGGCCCTTCGGTTATTCTCTGCCTCCATCCCCCTAAGCCTCTACTCCACACTGGCTTCCTTATCAGCTCCAGATGCTGTTCAGTCCTGACCCACAGCTTAAGGAAAACCTTGGGTCACTCTCTTATGTCACAGGTGAAGAACTGAGACCCAGAGAGAGAGAGAAAGAGAGTGTGTGTCTAGCTCAAGTCACTGCCAAAAGTGGGAATACAAGCCAGGCCTCCCGACTCCCAGAGTAATATTTCTTCCATTCGATGCCCCATCACCCATCAGTCTCTTGGTTCTCTCTCCTCTCCCAGGAGACTTTCAGGGGCCCCTCTCTCTGCAACTAGGGGACAGATGACGCCCTTCTCAGCACAGTGTTCTAGAAGAACTCGGAACTGTAGTCCAGTGTACCTTTGATTCCTTTCAGGCCTCAGATGGTGAAAGTAGGGCCATGGGAACCTCACCTCCTGCCCCATTTATTCTGAGCATCTCACTTCATGGTGGTGGTGAAGTCCCCTCCCCTCATCTCTCATCGCCCCCCCTGATGGTTTCATAGCCATTAAAAATACTGGAGTCCAGGACTTCCCTGGTGGCCCAGTGGCTAAGTCTCTGCATTCCCAAAGCTAGGTGGCCTGGGTTTGACTCTTGATCAGGGAACTAGATCTCACATGCCGCAACTAAGACCCAGTGCAGCCAAATAAATAAACGTAAATATATGTTAAAAAGAAATTAAAGTCCTTCAAGCTCCCAGGACTGTTCAGTTTTAGAATATCCCTTCCCAGAAGCCCCAGGGAAGAGCAGGGCAGCCTCACACATCCCAAGTCCTCAGGGTTGTGAACAGAGAGATTTGTCCCCTCTAACCAGGCTGATGGCTTCAAGGACTGCAGATACCTTCATGTCCCTGCCGGACCCCCCCAAAGGTCACTCTGAGCCAGGGGCTTTTGAGAGGGGCAGCAAGTCCTGGTTGAGGCTGTGGTCTGGGAGATGGGGATGATAAGGGCTGTCCCCGCTCTGCCTCCACCCCCCTCGGATCTCTTCTCTGTGTAACTTACCCACCCTTTCTTGAGGGGCGGTCCTCCCCCACCCCATCCCAAATCAGAGAAGTGGTCCCTGGGGCCCGCTGCTCCAGTTGATTCCTCCGGGCACAGGTGAAGGTAGGGTGGGAGGGCAAGTTTCAGTCTGCCGCCGGGATGCCAGGGAGGATCTGCATGGGCAGAGGGGTCCACAGGAGGGTTCCTTCCCTTTCTCTAGGCAGCAGGATCTCAGCCATGGTGGCAGGGAGGGCATCTCAGTCACTTCCACAGGCCAGTGCCTAGCACAGGGTCAACCCCCAGGAAAGCTCAAGTAAGACCTATTGAATGAAGCGGGGGGGCCCTCTTTCCCCCAGAAGGGCTGGGGGCATCACCTGGGTCTCCCCAGCAGACAGAGGTTTGTAAGGATCATATCTTGATTATTTTCCCCCCTCAGCGCCCAGTACAGAGCCTGACACGCAACTGGCGTCAGTAACTCCACGTTGAATGAATAGGGCTTTCACTATTACACGTTCATTAGAGGAAGGGCCGCAGAAGCTCCCCCGTGGACACAGAGAGCAGAGACCCCCTGGTAGTCCATTCTGAACCCCCAGGGCCTGCCAGGCAGGCGCTCCATGAGTCTTGATGGAAGGTGGGGGTGGTCCCAAGCGGCGGGTTCCCCTCTGCCCGCATCCTCCTTACCTGTAAGACACCTGTTTCCGTAGGTGCATCTGGCGGAACCGCTCCTCCACCGGGGGTCCGGCGGCCCCGCTCCGAGGTGCCTCGGCCTCCTGGCCTTGCCGGCAGCGCCTTCGCACCACCTCCTCCTCGGCCGCCCGGCCGCCGCCAGCCCCGTCCCCGCGGGGCCCTCCGCCGCCCGGCCCCTCGGCCATCCTGCGGCCGCCCGCTTCCCGCGGCTCCGGCGGCCTTTCGGGGTTCCCTGCTCAAGTTCAGTTTCCCTTCCTTCTGAGCCGGGGCCGCGAGGCGGGGGTTGGGGGGTGGGGAGCGCGCGGTCCCGCACGTCCCTCCCGACGTCAGGGGCTCAGACGGCTGCTGGGCGCCGCGCCCGACAAGGGCCAGCGGGGAGCCACCCGCGCCCCTCGGGGGAGCGGTCTTGGTGGGTGTCGGGGTGCTGCGTGGTGAGCGCTGGGGGCGCCCCCCGGACGGCTGGAGCCGGAGCCCGAGCCCGGGCGCCGAGCGCGCTCCTGCAGCCGCAGCCGCTGCCGCGCACCCGGACTGTCACCTTAGAGACACCCGCCCGCCCGCGGGGTACAGGGGAGGGCGCCGCCCCGCCGCTCCAGCCCGGCTCGGGCACCGGAGGAGCGAGCCCGGCCCGGCCGCAGCGGGCACGAACCCGGCTCTAGGCGCCCTCCAAAGCCCACCCCCGGGCCCCCTCCCCTGTATCCCGCAGCTGCCAATCAAAGGCCCGCCCGCCACTCAGCGGCAGTGATGCACCCCCCGCCTCGGCCCGCGCTTTCCGGCTTCGGCAGTCGCCGCAGCGGCGGGCAGGTGGGGGGGCGGGGTGGGGGATGTTGGCGGGGGCGGTGACACGAGCTGGCTTTAACCCCGTCGGTGCCACGGGACTTGAGAGACCCAATTAGATTTGAAGAAGGGGCGCAAGAAGGGCAACAAGGGCCAGGATGCCTTGAATTTGAGGATGGACTTGACTGCAGGTAAAGTGTTAGCTCTCTAGGCCTAGCTCTCTGCTGAACTCTGCCCAGATGCCAGAGGGTGTGGGATGGAGAGCCTGCAGCCTCCCGTGGCCTGTCCCCTGAAAGCCCTGGGCCAGGGTCTCCCAGAAGATTGAATCCATCTCTGGGTCGGGAGAGGGGAAAACCCAACTCAGAAGGAAAGACTAGAGGTCTCTTTGAGGTTCATCTTCTCCCTGGAAATCCCATGGTTCCTCCTTGCAGCATCTCCTCTTGTCCTTGGGGTGTTCTGCACTCGAACCTTTCGTCTGGGTTATGGCAGGACCTGGGGTAACTTCTCAGATCGGATGCCTCCTATCCACTACCCTAGACTCATCTTTCTGAAGTTGACCTTTTGATCTCGGGTGGCCTGCAACGGCTTGGAGTGGGGCTTGGGTTCCCAGCCAGAGATTGGAGCTGGATTACAGCAGTGAAAGCACCAGATCTTAGCCCCTAGACCAGTGATCAGTGCCAAGCGCCCTCACCCAAGACAGACAGTATCAAAGCAAGTGGAGTATTTATTAAGAGGAAAAGAGTACAGTACTTGTGGGTAGACACACGGGCAGACTAGAGGAAGAGTCCCTGAGTCGTGCCCCATGGCAGTTTGAATTACTTGTATGGGGTGTTTCTCCTGGGTTTCCTTTGGCCAATCATTCTGATTTGCCTGGTTCACAGTCCATATTTGGCAGATCTCAAAATCTTTGAATGTGTGCACACGCATCTCTTAGCCAAGGTGGATTCTACCGCAGAGGCTATTAGTAGAACATCCCTTGACATAACTCACGTTTTGACCTCCAAGGAGCCTTTTCTGCACCTGTGTAGTCTAAGAGGTCTCCTGACTTCGGGAAGGAGAAGTATGTGGTCTGGGCAGGGCCTAGCTGCCTCTCTTAATTGTCCTGCTATTCTACTCTTGGAGTTTCGGTCCACAGGGAATGAATCTCCAATCGCTGTACCCTGGGGGAGCAGGGGGCCCAATCTACCTCCAGCCTCACTTTGACCGCAGCACTTACTCTCCCTCTGCAGTATTTAGTGCCCCCCCACCTCACCTGTACTTAGCCTGGCATTCAAGGCCTGCCTTCACCTCCCCACATCCTATTCTCCAATTCCATCCATTTCCTTCCACTCATCTGTGCTCCATATTCTGGGAGTTGGCATCAGCCCTGTATAGCATCATTCATCTGAGATCTCCTGTTGCTGTACTTCAAATTTGGAGGATCCACTGAAATGCTTCCACTTCTAGGAAGTCTCCCTGGATGGCTCCAGCTGAAAGGCACTCTTTTTCTTCCCAGGCCCCATTGCCCTCTGCACCTGGTATCTAGTCTAGTTTGTCTGATCTTTCCCTGCTGACTGTGAGCCCCGGAAGGTGGGAGGGACCAGACTCTCAGAGGTAGAGAAGGGATTACAGAGGGGGAGAGCTGTGCTGCTCAGGGCTCCTCCGACTCTCACCAGCCCTACAGTGGCCGTCCTGCTCTGCGCCTTTGCTCCTGTTGTTCCCATTGCCAGCAGTATGTCCCTGTCTCTGAAATCCTGCCCATCTGTCTCGGCCATTCTCGCATGCCACATCCCCCATAAGGCCCTCCCCGACCCTCCACTGCAGAAGTCTGCCTCCTACAGCCCCGTAACTGCTTCCTGGGCCCCTCTCCGGGCATTCCCCTTCACCCTCTAACAATAACTAACATCTCATTTGATTCTCACCACAAGCCCGGGTGGTAGATGCTATCGCTTCCTCCATGTTACAGATGAGGACCCTGAGATGTCATTCAAGTGATTTATTTGCTCCAAGATGGCTCAGGTGAGGTGAGTGAGTGGTGAGCCAGGGTTTAAATCTAGGTCTTTTGGCCCCAGAACTCATGCCGTTTTCCGCTCCCCACGGGCTGCCTGCCACACAGTAACAGCCTCACGTTGGCCTGTTTCCCTCATCTTTAAATGCCCCAAAGGCAGCTGCCTCCATTCTGCCTTTCCCCTCTCTTCTGGTCTATCAATTCCATCTTGGATGAATGGAATAAATGGAATTGCATTAAGCATCTTGACCACTGGGGAGCTTGCATTGGAAAGCTAAGTTCTAAAGAAGTCCTGTCATAGGGTAGGGGGGTGAGGGAGGCGGGTAGAGGGGAGTGGGGGGGTGAGGCCCTTGAGAGCTCCTCCCTGCCTGCACATCTTTGCCCCTGAGATGGCCCCTAGGATTGCTAATTTTCCAAACAGCCAGGCCCGGGGTAGCCTCCTATACCGAGAGTTATCGTCGTTCTGCTGGATTTGACATTCCCTCACAGCTGCTTAGCTGCTGAGTTTCCAGGTGGGTTTTTTGGTCGACTCTTTGCCCAGCTCTCCCTTCTCAAGCCTTTTTAAATGGAAGCTTCTCCCCTCTGTCCTCACACCTCCCCGACTTAGGACCGGCTGCTGACTGCATCATTTTTTAGCTGTGTGGCTCTGCCTTCTTCCCAAGAATCCAAGGGAAAAACGAAAGGCCCCCTCCCCCACCACCAGCCTGACCACCTTCTGCAGCTGCAGCTGGCTCCTCGCTCGCCTCTGCACTCAGAAAATAATAGCTAATGCCTTTTGAGTGTTTACTGCCTAACTGACCTTGTGTTAAGAACTTCGTGGGCAAGCTTTCAGTTATCCCTCCCAGCAGCTTTATGAGGGTGGGTACTATTTTACAGACGAGGATGCTGAGGCTTTGAGAGGTTTGGTCATTTGCCAAGGTCATGCACAGAAGTGAAGCAGGAATGTCAGACGCATGCTCTTAACTGTCACTCTGATGACCAAGAGACTCAGGCTTCTTTGGAGGTGAGTTCCTAGCCTGTCTCCTCCCTCCCAGTGCCCCAAGGGGCACCTGTTACCCTCGTCAAATAGGTGCCCGATTTGGTCAGATGGCTTCTGGAGTGGTCCACTCTCTGGAATTGGAGCCTTGCCCCAGCCCATCGCAGCTCCGGGGCATCACTCACAGCTGCTCTCTATGCTGCCAGAGTTTTGGTTTCCAGGTGTAACAAAGGGTTTGTTGTGGCAATCTGAGCAGGGTGACTGGCCTCATGAAAGCCACCACGTGTGTGTGTGTGTGGGGGGGGGCAGTGCCAGCTGCCAGGGCTGACAATACAGTGTGAAGGCTGCAGCTCCATCCCTAGGGACATACTGGGGAGGGGCCCCCTTGGGGACAGTGACACAGTGCTGAGGAGGCGGGGTGTCACCAGGTGGCTTGCACGAGGGAGGTAACCCTGCTTCCCAACACAGGTGGGGAGGACTGTCTGGGATGGATGGACATAGGGTCACGACTGCAGATGAGCACACTTTGACCCGCTTGCCAAACCCTGGGCTCCAGGAAGCCCCAGTGTGCTTGGATCTTGTGCCAGATTAAGAGCCGGGTTGGGGGGAAGGAAGGTGGAAGGGGTGCTGGGGTGAGAGCTGGAGAGCCGGAGGGGCAACATGAGCTCTGAAGCCAAACAGATCTGTCTTCTTTTTGCAGTTTTCTTTCTTTGTTTATGTTTGGCTGTGCTAGGTCTTCATTGCTGTGAGGGCTTTTCGCTAGGTGTGGCGAGCCGGGCTCCTCTCTACTTGGGGTGTGCTGGCTTCTCTTTGCTGCGGCTCTTCATACTGCAGAGGACAGGCTCAAGAGCGTGTAGGCTCAGTAATTGTGGCTCATGGGCTCAGTGGCTCCTCTGCATGTGGGATCTTTCCAGATCAGGGATCTTGAACCTGTCTCCTGCCTTGGCAGGTGGATTCTTTACCACTGAGCCAGCAGGAAAGCCCCAGCCCTGTCTTCAAATACCCACTTTGCCACTTACTAGCTGTTTGACCTTGGTCAAGTCATTTCACCTCTCTGAACCTCACGTTCTTCAGTTTTAAAAATGCTCACCCTTTAGGATTATTTTGATTCCTAACTGGGGCTTGTAAAGTTCTCAGTCCAATGCCTGGCTGATGGCCACAAATCAGTAATGAGAGGATGCTAGATTTCAAGCCCTTTGCTATCAGGAGCTGGGTCTTGTTTGTGCCCCAAGGTGGCATGGTTCCATGCATGTAAGAGACACCCTATAATTATTTGTGGGTCCCATTCTTCTGAGCAACTATTTCAAACTTTGCCGCTCGCCCCCCAGTGCAGCTCCCAAGCTCACCCTCCCCTTTCTTTTGTCCTCAAACATCACAGTCATAGGGAGTCTCCCTCAGTTTTCTGTCTCTCCATGTTCTTCAGTCACACAGTGCCCTCCATGTCTATC